AAGATATTGCAATTGGAAGCGCCTTATTCTGTGATTCGAGCAATATCAGTTATATAAGTATATTTTGATATGCATTTGCGTCTTAAAGGTATTAGGGGTATAGAGATTGGACCGCGTCACTACAGTTCTTCTTGGCAAAAATAATCATTCGAGAGGCAGTACAAAATGCTTTTGAAGAGTTTGTTGGGTCCCGTACCAATGCGCTAGCAAAGATACATCGATATTATCGTCAGTGTATATTTTTATTTATTGAAATAAATAAATATTCATTATTCATTAAATGACTTTCACTTTCTGTATACTAAGCAACTTGATAGCTAAAGATCTAATTAATGTATTTGCTGGTAGGAGGCGTATAGTTAGACCACACTGGTATGGAGTATTATTTCTTTCGTGAAACAGGTATGCGTTTCCGTCTGAAGGGTGGGGCAGCCGTTGTACTGAAGAACTGAATCTTAGAACTCTGTCTCAAGGTGGGTGGCGGCATTTACGTTGTAGATGTCTATGGGTTACGGATAACCCCAGGGGGGGTTACGGACCGTCGAGGCGGTTTACCCGGTCTTTGATGACTGGGTGAATCGTGGCGAAGGACGTCTCACCTTTCGTCTGGTGCAGGTGTTGACCGGGCACGGATGCTTCGGGAAGTACCTGCAGGATAAGGGCTAAGCCGACGATGAGGTGCCACCATTGTAGACACGACCTGGACACGGCGGAGCTTACGCTCGCTGTCTGCCCCGCTTGAGAGGTGCAGCGCCGTATCCTTGTCGCAAAGATAGGACCGGACTTGTCGCTGCCTGGCGTCGTGGCGTCGATGCTTCGCAGCGACGAGTCCTGGAAAGCTATGCTCGACTTCTGCGAGTGCACCATCTCGCAGAAGGAGGCGGCGGGGCGAGTGAGGCAAAGCTCTTCTCACTACGCAGAAATCCGCCACCGCCGAGCAGGGGGTCGGGACCGGGGTCCCGTCTGTAACCCGGCCCCCTAAGAGCTTTGGCTCCACTTGCTTTGTACGGGGAGGAGCCTAGGCGTGGAGCAGCGAGGTACGCCGCGTACCCCGGACCGCTCCGGGGGAAGGTGTAGCGCGGCGCCATCAATGCGGGCTCTTGGCCCGTCGACCGAGGGAACCGGCGGTCGTGTCGCTGGCGGCCGCCGGTCCGTCGTCTGGGGGACGGCGGGACGGATGTAATATGCTCTGCGTAAACCCTGTCCCGCCGTCTCAATAGCTCCGACTGGGTTCCCATCCGGTCCGGGGTAGGGCGCCGGCTGTGAGCGGCAGAAGTTTGTAGTGAGGTTCAATTCCCACATACCGGATCCGGTGATTTTCTCCTATGGAAAAAAATGGGTTCCGGATATCACTTAACACCAAGTGAACCGTGAGCTCGTTCACCCACTTAGAGAAACAAATTGAAGAGTAGAACAGCTAGTAAATAATATTTAATATTTCGAGCTCGCGTGAGTCTTTCACGTTTTTGATGTGTATGGCTTCAGGTAAGCTCTTGCAACCAGATTAGTCGTGCAACCTTTCACGCAAATATTGCAATAAATAAATCCGAATGAATAAATAAATTGGAATTGCTTCCGTAAAACATAAAATTTACATTAACGAATTGATTTATTTGAAACACAATTTAATACGTAGATTGTCTCTACATTTAGGAACACGTAAATAAGGTTTCTCATCGATCTGACGTTCTTGTATGTGTTCGTAATAATACCTGAATTAGGCTGCCGATGTATCAACGTCGTTTGCTTGCGGCTACAACCAGTCGTTTCTTAACGGAAGTTTAAGATACGATTGGCGGAAAATGAAGGCAGTTCGAGAAGAAATAGATTAGTGGTCTCAATAATATCTTCCTCTGACTTGCTGTAAGAAAGCATAGTGTGACATCACAGACTACGGTAGTCGTCGTGGTCTAAATGATATGATGCCCGGTGTTTTGAAGTCGTCGTGGTCTAAAGGATAAAACGTCCGGTGCATTCGTATTGAGCGATGCACCGGTGTTCGAATCCCGCAGGCGGGTACCAATTTTTCTAATGAAATACGTACTTAACAAATGTTCACGATTGACATCCACGGTGAAGGAATAACATCGTATAATAAAAATCAAACCCGCAAAATTATAATTTGCGTAATCACTGGTGGTAGGACCTATTGGGAGTCCGCACGGGTAGGTAGTTCCCCAACCTATTATATAAATAGTCGTGGCATTTCACTATGGAACGTTAGACGCTTGTCCGGCGGTATCATCGGACCTTATTTCTTTGAAGATGCGCAAGGAGTCGCGCTTACTGTCAATGGCGACCGATTTCCGATGATGATAATAAATATTTGTGGCCTAGGATAGATCTGTGGATGGATTGGATGAGAAATTCGAAGGCTTCGTCATCTCGCGTGGTGGCGACATCAACTGACCACAGATTTATTTTTATTTTTTATTGCTTAGATGAGTTGATGAGCTCACGGCCCACCTGGTGTTAAGTGGTTACTGGAGTCCATAGACATTTAATGCCGCCACCCACCTTGAGACATGAGTTGTAAGGTTTCCGTTTTAACAGAACAACGGCTGCTCCGTCCTGCAAATCAAAACGTATTACTGTTTTACGGCAGAAATAGGCAGGTGGTGGTACCTACCCGTGCGGATTCAGAAGACGTCCTACCACCAGTAAAAATGATCTCAGACAAAGCCACTTTTGTAGAGCAAATAAAAACTTAATTAAAATGTTAATTAGCGAAAAACTCCTTGTTTGCACGGAAACGTGCGTTCAAACAAAAAAACAACCTGAATAAATATTAAAAAAAAAATGACTATAATATAATAATCATTTATTTAATCAAGAATTCGCACGTGTATCATACTGTTTTATATTGTGTAAAGTGTGAAAGTTCTTACGTGGTTACTGAAGTCTGTAGACATAACTTAAATGCCTACATTAAGCAATGAGGTCAGTCTCAATTGCGTTGTATAACGGCTTACCCACGCTCCAAGCTGGAACTCACGACTTCCTCAATGCAGCAGAAATGGGCAGGATCCTGGAACCTACCAGTGCGGACTTACAATAATTCCCACCAACACTAAAATAAATATAAAATATGAAAAAGCTCTTGAATTCAAACCTTATGTCAAACGAATTAAATTGGTATTCGCTAAAATGTTGATCTTGCTAAATGTGTAATACAACAAACATATCCCAAATATATTTAGTAGCACAGGTTCGTCAAACGATAGGTGAATGAAATTGTTTTTGAACAGTGGTATTAATAGATAAAAAACTGGCATCGTATGAACTAAGATATGTGCTTATCAGGGTTCTGAATCCTGCAACTGTGTTGTGCAGTTAGTATAACCAGTTTTAATCTAACAAAAATGAAGATCTTACAGTTCAAAGTCAGTATTTTACTGGTGGTAGGATCTCTTGCGAGTCCGCACGGGTAGATGCACCCTGCCTATTTCTGCCGTGAAGCAGTAATGCGTTTTGGGTTTGAAGGGTGGGGCCGTTGTACCTACACTTGAGATCTTAGAACTTACATTTCAAGGTAGGTGGCGCATTTACGTTGTAAATGTCTATGGACTCCAGTAACCGCTTAACATCGGGTGGGCTGTGGGCTCGTTCATCTATATCAGCAATAAAAAATTAAAAATGAAATCTTTTCTCCACCAGAGATGAATGAAAACGAAATTAAAAGTTCCAGCCTGATAATACAGTGTTAGTATTTCTGGCCATTCAACTGTTGATTCTTCTTCGTAGATTAGCTTCTGGCTCCTGGATATACAGTAGAGTCTATAGACATTACACCGCCGCCCCCAAACCTAGACACGTACTCTTAAACATTTGTGTAACCATGTCATTATTACTTGACATTCATGACAGTAATTACTAATTGCCGCGTATTTTGTCTAGTCAGCCTTTTCTCAAAGGAGAGATACAGTACTTTTTTTGTTTTCGGGGGTTGTAGTCATAATTTAAACAACTTTTACTGTTTTAATAAGGACGATTCTGTGTCCACGAAAGCTGTAAAGTTTCGGAACGTCGTTATATATGTAGTAGTAGGATAATGACAGTAAAAAACGTGAGATTCAATTGTAAAACAAGTTTTAATTAAAATGAATTTAAATCAAGTAATTCTAATAAATATTAGGAGACCAGAATTCTAAGTAAAATAAGAGGCGAAAAAAGATGTGTGGTGTCGTGGGACACCGTTCCTATGAACGAAGTTCCATATAAAAAAATTAAAAAAAAAGAATTAGGATAAAAAATCGCGCGGTGAAATATCGCTGTGCGGAAAACAAGGCCTTATTCCACGGACTTTTTCTTACGGTTTTACTGTTCGACGCTTGAAAAGCAAACATGACTAAGCGACAATAACTGCTTTGTATATAAATGATAGGCAATAACCATATTCGATGCGCAAAAAAATTAGATTTCTAGGTCTATTAAAATCATTTCAATCCTACAGCTAGTAGCTAGATTCTACTACAGCTAGATTCGTTAAAATAAATTTTGTTATCAGGTATTTCAACTTTAAATTAGTCTACTGTAAAGTTCACGCATTGTCGCTTAGTCACGTTTGCCTTTCAAGCGTCGTATTACATTTTTTTCAGTTCGGTCGCGCAGCAAAAATCGCGCTGTGAAATATCGCTGTGCGGAAAACAAGGCTTTATTCCACGGACTTTTTCTTACGGTTTTTACTATCACATTTTTTTCAGTTCGGTCGCGCAGCAAAACCTCTATCTCCTCCAAGCCTGCCGTAAGGAACTTCGTTCCAAAAAGTACGTTAATGCTCATTATCATCACAGCGTGCCGTCTACCAAACGCTGACGTCCACTTCAAGATTTTAACGAGAAATTTCAAATATAACTATTTATCCCGATAATGAAGAAGCGGAAGAAAACAGTACTTGTTTATTTAGGTGTTTAAATTATTTTCATAAGTAAACACTTCCTAGTTTCACTTGTGAATGCAATATGTTTTCAATGAGTAATTATTATTCATGTGGATTGTTAACAGAATTTAGTTGGTCAGAAGAAATGTGCGATTTTTCATTACACATCGACTTGCCGTTCAGTCATGTCTAATATTGAGTTTACAGTCAATGGGATCTTGTGTTCAGGTAATTATTATATTCAAGTTATTTCGCCAGTGGTCGGTACTACCAGGTATTACCGGTACGAGTGCTTGGCAGGGGTCATGAACGACTTCCTTGGTGAAACTAAAATAATGTTACTACAATATTTTATTTTATTATTATTATTTGTGTATTAAACACTGCCTCGTCTGGGAAGACGGCAGGGTACACTCCGGCGAGGTGGGCAACAATCGGCCGGAGCGTTAGGGACTATTGGGAGAGAAACCGGCGAACTATACCAGCATTGTCCAGCAAGACTGCTTTTTGCATTTGGGCCACCACCGACTTTTTGTTGAGACCAAGCCTCTCGAGGTGTTATTATTATTATTATTTTCAGTTTAATTATTATTACTAGTGGTTGCCCAGTAATCGAAATTTGACTATAATTAATCTATACTTCTATACTAATATTATAAAGAGGAAAGATTTGTTTGTTTGTTTGTATTGAATTGGCTCAGAAACTACTGAACCGATTTAAAAAATTCTTTCACTGTTGGAAAGCTACGCTATCCCCGGGTGGCATAGGCTATGTTTATTATATTTAAAAAAAAATTTGGGATCCTTACTGAAACTCCAATAATATAACCCAATGTGTAAAATAAATACTTAAAATTCTTTACATCGCGTGCACTAGTACCCAAGCGAAGCCGGGGTGGGCCGCTAGTTTAAATTTTAAGTTTGCAATTGTTATGGTTCTACTGTCAAAGTTCTATAATCACAGATTTCGCCATGGCTACACTTTAGATAAATGATAATATTAATCTATTCTCAATTTGACCACAGATTTTTTTATATTTTTATTGCTTAGATGGGGGCGATTTCACAGTCCACCTGGTGTTAAGTGGTTACTGGAGTCCATAGAAATCTACGACGTAGATATGGCGACCTACTTTGAGATATAAGTTCTAAGGTCTCAAGTATAGTTACAATGGTTGCCCCAACCTTCGAGCCGAAACGCATTACGGCTTCACGACAGAAATAGGCAGGGTGGTGGTACTTACCCGCGCGGACTAACAAGAGCTCCTACCACCAGTAAGAACTTTAGCAATAAACAAAAGAGTATATATGCGTGAGTGTGTCAAATACATGGTACTGTGTACAATGTTTTTTTAATTGATCTAATGTAATTTTTATGTACAATTAAAAAAAATATTGCGTTCTGAACTCCTTCTCTATATTCTCTATAAGTGTAAAAAAAATTACACTGCTCTGTGCGCGCAATTTTCGTAAAAACGGATACAAAGTTTTTGCTTCACGTATTAATATATTATAGTTAAATTGTTACGTAATAAACGGTACGGTGATTTGTAAGCCCGCTCTAGTACTGATTCTATGGCGGAACAGCTAAGCATTCCGGTTTGAAGAATGAAGCCCCTGTTGTTTAATTAAGTAGATGATTCAACCTCATGTCTCAAAGATGGTGGAGCAATTACGTTGTGCTGTCGAGAAATCAAATCAGACATTTGACCTATCATTTGACGGGAATAAGCCAAGGAAAGATCTCTCACCGAACTTATATTATTGATCGGAAGATCGACAGCCCGAATGCTATTGTTCGGAACTTGTACATATGCAAGCAAATCTTGAAATTATCGTTAGCGTTTTTCAAGATATTTTGTCAAATATATTCTGTGATGGGTATAGCTATGTAGCCCGAGCTCATCTGTTATTCTAGGCAGTCATATCAAGCTGCTATGTCAAATCTAAAGATTTAGTCGCGTCTACTTTTTCCCCCCTTGTTTATTCATATGGTATTTCGACCGGTTTGTCGGATACTTTGGAAATGAATGATTAAAGGCTTAAATATCATTCGTCTCCTGTTTTATGACTCGTAAATGCGCCACCCACCTTGAGATATAAGTTCTAAGGTCTCAATATAGTTGCAACGGCTACCCCACCCTTCAATCCCAAACGAATTACTGCTTCACGACAGAAAGAGGCAAGATTGTGGTACCTACTTGTGCGGACTCGCAAGAGGTCCTCCTACCACCAGTAATTACGCAAATGATAAGCTTGCGGGTTTGATTTTTTTTACACGACGTTATTCTTTGACCGTGGAAGTCAATCGTGAACATTTCATAAGTGCGTATTTCATTGGAAAAATTGGTACTTGCCTGCGGGATTCGAACACCGGTGCATCGCTAGATACGAATGCGCTGGACGTTTTATCTTTTAGGCCAGGACGACTTCAACTTCAGCGAAATGATCATCAATTGGGACCATATGTTTCTAAAACTATATTATTAGTCTGTCCTGTGTCTAGTTATGTTATGACATCTTTCAAAATAATTTTCTGACGAAAGAAACACTGACGATAATTTAATAACATCACGTTGGGTTAATATCCTAAACAAAATAAAAAATGTAGGTTTTTTCAATTTTGAAAATGTAAAAGCAATATATATGGTTTTTATTGTATGTTTTCGCAGTGGGATGCGAAGTCTCCTCAACTTTGATGCTGGTGGACTACATCCGGCATCATTTGGAGCTGCGCGGCACCAAGTACATGTGTCGTGAGGCTGGATGTGGGGCCTGCAACGTCTCTGTGATTAAGACACCGGGTGGTCCAGAATTATCAGTGAATTCGGTAAGCTCTCTTTTTTTTAGCTCGACTGTTGTAAAAAATCTAAGGGATTGAAATTTTTCAATGCATCTATTGCTGACGAAACTAGAAGGAAATGCGGTCTACTAATTGTTGAGGGGCTACCATCGCTCTGGGACATCAGAGACATCACTACATCAGACGGCTGTCTGGTGTAGTGGTAAGTGACATGGTGACTACACAAGGGGGTCGCGGGTTCGGATCCCGCCAAGGGAAGATATTTGTATGATAAATATAAATGTCTTTTCCAGGGTTATGGATGTATATTAAATATATGTATGTGTATAATAAAAATCTTACATTTATATCCGTTATCTGGTACCCGTAACACAAGTTCTTTACGAACTTAGCACGGGACTAGTTAACGTGGCGTGATTGTTAGTAAATATTTAAAATATATATATAAAGATAGGTAAAACATTCAACATCAAAGATTCAACATCAAAGAGATGTTAACCACCCTTGGTAACAACATGAATCCTTTAATCGCCCTTAAAGACATGGCCTTGTCTTACGATATCCACATGGCTTTGTGGAAATTAGATATGAAAGGAGTCTTAAATAGGCAGTGGCACGGCTATATGCCTATGAGCATTACCATTTGTAGAATGGGTCGATCAAAAAAAAAAAACGGTTTTCGTATCTGACACATTTTTTCTGAGAAACAAGCAAATTAGGCATAAATTTTATCCATAACTTTAATCCTTTAGCTGTGCCTACCATTTAACATCGCAGAGATTGTTAGCGCATCTTTAATATTACGTAATTTTTCATTTCAACTTTTTACTGCAGTGCGTGGTTCCAGTAGCTTCCTGCGATGGATGGAAAATTAAGACGATCGAAAGTATCGGCAACAAGAAGGATGGCTACCATTCCATCCAGAAGGCTGTGGCCAAATGTAACGGCACCCAGTGTGGGTACTGCACTCCGGGATGGGTGATGGCTATGTACAGGTTGGTACTGTCTATAACTCGGCCTCAAACCAACACCCCCTATGTGGAAAAGCATTCCGATAAGTGCTTGTAACTTTGAAACATGGTCTACAATATAGTTGTCATGTCGATGCTTTCAAACTAGCCAATAATTGTACTGTTAATAGTGCAGAAATAATATAAAAGTGCAAATATACACGCAATGATTTAAAACAAGAAAGTAAACAAACAAAGCAAAGTATTACTGGTGGTAGGACTTCTTGTGAGTCCGCACGGGTACGTACCACCACCCTGCCTGTTTCTGCCGTGAAGCAGTAATTCGCTTCGGTTTGAAGGGTGGGGCAGCCGTTGTAACTATACTGAGACCTTAGAACTTATATCTCAAGGTGGGTGGCGCATTTAAGTTGTAGATGTCTATGGGCTCCAGTAACCACTTAACACCAAGTGGGCTGTGAGCTCGCCCACCCATCAAATCAATAAAAAAAAAAAAAAATTAGCTACTGATATGCCAATTTTGCTCCATTTTTTCAAAAATGGCATCCGTTTTATCCGTAATAGGGCGACCAGAGCGACGTGCGTCTTTGACATCAAAATTTCGGGATTGAAAACGCTTAAACCGAATATGTGCTACTCTCACAGACACTAAAAAAACCATAAACATCGCGAATTTTTTTCGCGGCTTGCGCTACATTTTTGCCTTTTTAGTAGTAAAATTTTAAAATGTATCGAATTTTTTCATTAGATTCACTCATCTTGACAGTACGAAAAATAAATAAAATTCACACATTTTCCTAATTTGAATTTGTAATTAACTTCTTTAATATTTAAACTTTTAATTATACCAAAACCAGCCAGATACAAATAGTATAACCAAAGACATTTTATTACAAGTTCATACATACTGTAATGCGAAAAGAGTTTTTCCCCAACCTATCTGTCAATAAAGCTGGAGCCAAGGAAATGAGGTGAACATGTGGGCAAAAGTGCATAGCTGTTGAGGCGGTAGTAATGTGGCCCTCCATAAAAGACATAGAATTTCGACTGTTATTATAGAAACATATCGCAGCTCCATTCGATGAAGAACTGCGATGTCCTTGTCATTACAGAGTTTGTAAAAACACCAATTAATGGGTATACTCCTCCTCCTTCAGTCGACCGCTTATTGCTGAGCATCGTGATACGTCCGTCTGTGACCTTTTTTTGTAATTTGTAGCCACTTATGTCGGTCAGTGGCACAGTGAAGTGCGTGGCTCAGTCTCATGTCCAGATACTCGGACACTTGGTCACTCCATCTTTCTCGGCTCTGACCTTCACCGTCCACTTTACCCGTCACTATGAGTCTTTCCAGGTTCTCAGAGGGCTATCTTGCTATATGACCAAAATATTGGAGCATTCTATACAGGAATTTTGTGGATAGCCTCTGGTCAACTAATATTTTAGACAATACAACTACTAATTGCATTTTCCAATAACAGTTTGTTACAGAACAACACCGAAATGACCATGCTGGAGATAGAAAAGTCGTTTGGTGGCAACATCTGTAGGTGCACCGGCTATAGGACCATCCTTCAGGCTTTCAAGCAATACGCAAAAGACTCCCCCACTTCGATCAGCGACATTGAAGATTTGCATATCTGCGAGAAATCCGATCAGCAATGTTGCAAGAAAAACTGCGACGAAAGCGACTGGTGCCTGGTCGCCAATAACGTCGGGTCGACCACCAAGGAATTAACATTAAAGGACGGCGTTAAATGGTTCACCGTTACCCAAATCTCTGATATTTTCGAGATTTTACTGGTCGAAGGCACTGACTCTTATATGTTAGCGGCTGGGAACACTTCTAAAGGTGAGAACGTGTTATGGTTTTAGATTGTTCCCATCAACGATCCAAAGGCACAGTCATATAAAATAGCATCATTATGTTTAGATCGTCATCGATAGGTATAAATGTAGTTAAGCCGTGAAGTATTCGAAACGTCCGAAATAATTTAAGGACAATAAAAACACGCGAATTTGTAATTAATTAGCTTTAATTATTTTTATGACCTGCGAAAACTGATGATAATAACCAATATCGTGTGCGTCGGAAAGGCACAGCTAAACTACCAGCTACTCTTAATCTAAAGTTTTAACTTTGATACATTGTATATCGCAGGATACGAGAATTTTTTAAGGATGTTTGCATGATGGTTCTTGAAGTGGTTCGGTTCAATAATAACTTTAAATTACATATTCTCAATACGAAAGATTCGGTTATAATTTTATTTACAATAACTTTATCAAATCATGTATATAATATTCAGCTTGCGCAAGAACCTCCTTTTAAACTCGCTCAAATATAATCCCAAATTTACAACTAATTAACAATGTTATTATTTGTTTTAGTACCATATCCAATAACGACTCCTTTTAGTGTAATAATCGATATATCTGGAGTCTCAGAATTAAAAGGATACACTTTGGACCAGAACCTTGTGGTTGGAGCTGGAAATACTCTCACCGAGTTCATGGAAATTCTAGAAAAGGCCTCTACTGAGGAGGGATTTGAATATTTAGTAAAATTTACTGAGCATATGGAGTATCTTGGCCATAAGACACTAAGGAATGTGAGTACAGTGCACATCCCGAGGTAAAAAGTATTTTAGGGCAAACGTACCCCAGTATTCGTAGATAAGTCACAAATGTGTCAAATAGAAGAAATGTTACCAAATATTATTTCATAATATATTATACCATAACATCTTATTTACCCTAGCGATAATCCAATCATCATCATCATTATTCTACCCTTCTCCCAGTCACCCGGGGTCGGCGCAACATGTTTTCTCCTACCATACTTTTCTATCATATACAATTTCTTCGCTCACTCCCTTCTTATCCATATCGTCCTTCACGCAATCCATCCATTTCTTCTTAGGTCTACCTTTTCCTCTATATCCTTCCACATTCATGGTTAACATTCTCTTACCAACCTCATTTGCGTCTCATCACATGTCCATACCATCCCAAACGCGCACTTCTCAGCTTCTCTGTCACTTTCAGACTACCTCTAACATATTAATTCCGTATTCTATCTATTCTCCACACACCCATCGCAGTATTCGCATCTCTGCTGCATGCAATCGCCTTTAATCATAGCGATAATCCTAATTCAATCTTGAATCTAGAAACGGTGATTATTGTTATTACTAGTATTCTTCTTTGTCTTCATCTTAGCTCACTAGGTGGTGTCGGTAAAGCTAATTTTTCTCTCCCATTATCTTCTATCAACACTCACTCCTCTCTCTCTCTCTCTCATATCGTCATTCTCACACTCCATCCATGTCTTCTTCGGTCGCCCTTTCTCCCTCCACTAATATTATCAGTATAATTACTATTATACAGTAGTTCGAATATGCGGTGCCTGAAATTGTGAACACATGTATATAATTTAAACACGTACCTAAAACAATGCTTACGAACTTCGATTTTGTGGTAGGACCTCTTGTGAGTCTGCACGGGTAGGTACCACCGCCCCGCCTATTTCTGCCGTGAAGCAGTAATGCGTTTCGGTTTGAAGGGCGGGGCAGCCGTTGTGACTATACTGAGACCTTAGAACTATATCTCAAGGTGTGTGGCGCATTTACGTTGTAGATGTCTATGAGCTCCAGTAACCACTTAACACCAGGTGGGCTGTGAGCTCGTCCACACATCTAAGCAATAAAAAAAAAAAATGTATAAGGTTAGACCGACGAAATTATATTGCAGTGTTGATGTCAATATCATTTAGTCTTGAAGCACAAAATAAACTAAACATGAAACGACTTACTTACTGGTGGTAGGACCTCTTGTGAGTCCGCACGGGTAGGTACCACCAAGTCCGCACTCATATCTCAAGGTAAGTGGCGGCATTTACGTTGTAGACGTCTGTGGGCTCCGGTAACCGCTTAACATTTCTGTGCGTTGAATTAATTCTATAAAACCATGTTTGCAGATTGCAACCATTGGAGGTAACCTGATGATGAAAAATAAAAACGTTGCTTTCGCTTCAGATCTGTATCTGTTATTCGAAATTGTTGGAGCACAAGTTACAGTCAGTACGTATTTAATCATTTTATGACACGACCAAACAAAAGAATCGTAATGATTGAGATATAATTGCAAGTTAAAAAAAACTATCCGCTGTCTAAGCTAAGTCTTTATTGAAAGGAACTATTACTAGTTTTTGTTTCTTATATTGGCAGTATTAAGCGAAGGGTTCATCTACTCCACTAAACCGAAAACATACATAGATAATACAAAGCATCATATTGGTATATAACTTAGCACTTACTTCACAGAGAGTCAAGAGTACGGAACCGAAACAGTGACGATGCACGAGTTCATCCTCTTAAAAATGGTTGGAAAAGTCTTAGTGAATATATTACTACCGCCCCTATCTGAAGATTACAAAATTGTGACTTTTAAGGTAGGTTAACGGAGTGATATGGGAGTGCTCATAATGAGTGCCCCCATGGGACTGATCTGTCCACACTCGTCATTACCCCCACATTATTGGGATGCCCCCCTAAGGGGATCCATTTCCCACCCCAGTGAGTGGACCATTCCCCCGTCAGGGGAGTGTTTTTAAGTCGGTCCCTCCCCACTTCAGTCTCACCCTTCTGGGGAGCCCGGAGTGGATGAGAGCCAAAGTAAGTGCCGCAGCCCCCCTCCTCTGTTTTGTAGAGGTGGGAACGCGGCATGGGACCGGTGGCGGGCCCTATCCGGCGTTCGTTTGCTGACTGTTGCCTGCTTTGTAGATAGTGTAAAGTTGCTGTAAATAGTTATAGATAGTAGTTAGATTTAATAGTAGGGAAAAAAATAAAACAAAAGACAAGCAGACGAGAGCACGGCGCTTGAGGGAGCCCGCTGCCGAGCGTAAACAAGCCATCGTATTATATATACGCTACGAACAGCACCCTCCCCCCATCTCACCCTTGCCCTCAATGGTAGGGAGTTCATTCCCGGGCAGAGGGGTTTGCTCCAAGGCCCGTTCCGTGCCCCCGTAAGAGGGTACGACGATGCTCAAGCGTCAAATCCCTGCCAAACCCAAACACCGGACGGGGTGAGGGGAGTACTGCGGTCAACACTGTAACGCACGGTTCACTACAAGGACATCCAACTGACGTACTCTGAACGTCAACCGTCTTGGTAAGGAGGCGCGTCAGGAGACCGAGGCGGTGCTAGCGGTGTCCCGGGATACCTCGCAGGGCCAGAACCAGTCTGCCGGGTCGGGATACGATACACCGCCAATTGGTCGTTTTTTCACGTCAGAAGGTGTGTCTAAATGAGAAAGTTAGATAATAAGTTAAAGTCAGTTTGCTGCATGGACAGTAAATGGCTTCAGAGTCAGTGTGTTAGTAAACCCTTTTTGATAGCGGGGCAGTATTGTTAATTTGCCTGCGTAGGTTGATTAAAGATATCTTTCAGATCATGCAACGTGCCCAGGCCGTCCACGCCACTTTGAATGCCGGATTTAATTACAAACTAAGCAACGACAATGTGGTTAGAGAAGCTAAAATCGTTTACGGTGCTTTGACGACCGCTTCGACCAGGGCTACAGAAACTGAAAAATATTTGATTGGCAAACCACTCTTCACCAACGAAACTCTGCAAGGAGCTCTCACAGTTTTGGATAGTGATCTGGTCGTAGTTGAAAATCCTCCAGAACCATCCGCAGAGTACAGAAAGCATTTGGCTCTATGTCTGTTTTATAAGGTAAGGTAAAATATGTTTCGTGCTATGTTAAGCATTGACGAAATTATTGTATATGAAGGATATTGAAGGAGGTCCTAAATTTTGATAATGAGTATTTTTCATGTGGCTTTGAAATATTTTAGGAGCTTCGCTAGGTCCCTTTGTTGTATTAGTATTTATTATATTATAGAGTAGGCGTGGATAAATGTGTATGCTAAAGTACAGCTACCACTAGATTGATATTCACTAATTTTAGAAAAAAATATATTTAAATATGTGGTTTTTTTTTCGGTATTACGTACGACACATTTTATACAAATTATTTGCTATGATCATAATATAGGTGTTAACATGCAACCTAGCTCATGGTCACAACCCACTGAGTTCCTCACTGCACGAACTCCAAAAGTGGGTCAATTCCGATCTGGTGGTAGAATCAGCGAAACACTGCTCCTTTTAGACCTAGTTCAGAAAGTCCTCAGATACGCTCCACTCTCAATACTTCAGTCGACGTTGCTATCCACACAGCTGAGAATAGGTATAAATGGCCCAGGAGTTAGTTGGTAGAGGAGGCCACGACCACATTGAGGATTATCGACACAAGGAGGAGGAGAAAGTCCTACTAGATTGAGGCCCTTGAACTCACCTACCAAGCCGTGCATAGCTGTAATAGCCCCGGAGGATACCAGCGATTAGGGAGGGGAAAAACGTACAAGTAACATAATTTATTACAAAGAGTGGATATGTAATGAAATAAAACAACTACATAATATAAGGAATGTTCTCGTACTCCCTCACTTTGAGATATGAGTTCAAGTCTCTATTACGCTGTTCAGTGGCTATAGCTTTGGAAGGGAAAGCTGAACTGCTTCGTTACTGCCGTACAGCCTCGCAATAATATCCATTTTTTTTACTGCTTTGATAGGTGGACGTGTTACGGCCCACCTGGTCTTAAGTGGTTACTGTAGCTTACAGACAGCTAAACGGCACTCTTCACCTCGAGAAAAGAGTTCTGAGGTCTCAGTTGTACAAAGGCTGCCGCACCCTTCAAACCGAAACGTATTACTGCTTCACGACAGAAATAGGTAGGGCGGATTTACATATTTATAATTTGTTTGGGGGTCGTATTCTACGATATTATGTTTTGATCGTGTATATTGTTTGTGAAGACGTGCCGGGCATGTGTTTGCGAACCGCAGCCAGCCAGTGATTGTCATCTTTACTTCGAAATGAGAGTTTCGTTTTAGCTGCACTGGAATATTACGAAATCTTTCTTTGTATGGCTGACAACTCGTTCATGTTTGTCGTCTGCTTCCAGGGTCTACTTTCCCTTTGCCCCACAGCAACTCTCCAGCCTCGATACCGATCAGGAGCCATAAAAATCCACGACTCTCGTCCGGTCTCGGAAGCCACACAGACATATGAGACCAACAATAAGCTGTATCCTCTGACGGAACCGCTACCGAAACACGAAGCTTTGGTATGTATGCATATTCAGCTAAAACTCCACAGCAGCCTGCTTTTCTAAAGCTCCCGTAGCTTAACAGTAATGACTGACCGTGATTCTCAATTTTACAGATCCAATGTTCCGGCGAAGCCATGTATTCCGATGACTTGCCGAGTTTGCCTCACGAGGTGTTTGCTTCGTTCGTCCTTAGCACGGTGGCTGTCGGAGAAATCATTTCCATTGATCCGACTAAAGCACTGGTAGGTCTTACTAGTGCCCTCTCCTTTTTCCTTACCCACGAAGGCTGATGACCATAGGTCCCACGTGACGGTATGTGGTCGGCGTCGATCATGACTATCGCCAAATGCGCTGCCTACCGCTTAGTATAGTGGTAAGTAAGTAGTATGTAGAATTCTCATGACCATAACCTGTAGAACACACAGTGGCCTGGCGATATCATACAAATCGTCATATGCACGAGGACGCAGCTTTAAAGCACTTTCCTAGCATATCTTCAGTTATATCTAATAGATAGTACCAAGCTTGTTACTGATACGTATATAGACATCATTATTGAGCGTTGCTTCTAAGCAACACGTCCCGCTGAAATTGTAGTTGAATTATTTTTGAATTTTTCTTTGTTAACTTGACACTTATGTAACTAGGTCTAAGATAGGCCCACGATTCAACTAATGCTTAATGTATACCAATGCCCATTGCGTCACAACGTGAACCTCGCCACGAAAATATGACGTATAAGTTTCATGAGTATTCTCTAGGCTCAAAGACACGTAGATACTGCCTTGTAGAAGAAGGAGGCGAGATTGTGGTGCGTTTAAAAATCTCATATCAGCAAGCTCACTTATAAAAACTATTACGAAATTTGGTAAGAGGATCGAATAGTAAGATTTAAATTATTTAAACGTTTAAGTTTCAATCAAGTAATCAATAGCTTAAGTTTGTTTTTGTTTTGTTTTAAAAAATACCTTAATAACATCAGTTTTAAGAAGTTTTGTAGTCTGGGTCCGTAGTATTAATACACATTTTTTAAGATTATGTGGTGTTTTTTTTTAAACGAACAGGAAGTTGATGGTGTCATAGCTTTCTATTCAGCGAAAGATATTCCTGGGCTAAACTCTTTCACTCCTGATGATCTTCCATTATACGCCAAAGCGGAAGAAGTACTATGCAGCGGTCGGGTCTGTTACTACGAACAACCAATCGGCATCATTGTGGCTGAGGACCAAATAACCGCCGACACAGCTGCCAAACTGGTCAAAGCCACATACAAAAATGTCAAGAACCCAGTCGTCAACATCAAAGAAGCCATTAAAGATGCTTCAAGGAACACTTTGTATACTTCTGCTGATGCCACGGAAACAGGCACGGACGTCACCAAAGTTATTAGTGGCACTAATTCTGGAGACGGTCAATACCATTTTACGATGGAGACTTTGGTCTGCGTGACTAACCCCACTGAAGAGGGCTTGGAAATCCACACAGCCACACAGTGGACCAACGGAGTTCAACTAATGGTTTCTCGTGCTTTGGGCATTGAGAAAAACAGGTTTGTGATTTTTGATAGACTGATAGCATACATTGAAGCTTTTATGTGTGATCAAATGATCTTAAACATGACCCAAATGAGCCTCGTGGTATTGCATTGCACAATCGGTATTATTGTGATTCGAGTTTTGATTACACTGTGCCTTTCTAGTCTACTCTTCAGATTGGAGATGAAGAAATCTGGAGATCGAGCCAGTTTACCTCGGTGATAAAAAGTAAATAACTGGTGGTAGGAGTTCTTGTGAGTCCGCGCGGGTAGGTACCACCACCCTGCCTATTTCTGCCGTGAAGCAGTAATGCGTTTCGGTTTGAAGGGTAGGGCAGCCGTTGTGACTATACTTGAGACCTTAGAACTTATATCTCAAGGTGGGTGGCGCAGTGGACTGTGAGCTCGTCCACCCATCTAAGAAATAAATAAAAAATGATCTTTTTTTTCAGAGTCGACGTCCACGTGCGCCGTGTTGGTGGAGCATACGGGTTGAAAATATCCCGCAGCACTCAAGTGGCAGTAGCGTGCAGTTTGGTGACATATAAACTGAACAGACCGTGCCGCATCCTGCAGTCCTTGGCCACGAATATGAAGGCCATGGGAAAAAGGCTACCGTACCTTGCTAAGTATGAGGTGCGTTTATCTTCTTGTGTTTTTTTTTATTTTGTTGCCCACAATATCAAAACTGACAGCCCGTATCTGCTCGTTGACTGTTTTTTTAATGTTAATTGTGTTTTGGTGTGCAATAAAGTGTATTCTCTTTCTCTCTCTCTCTCTCTGTATAGTACCTATTAGAAATATCGGTAATAATATAAGGAACATAAAAATGGAGATTAACGTAAAATTCGTTTTTTAAGAAATTTAACATTTTATATCTTACGACTTAGCTTATCTGATTCTGAATACAACAAATAATAAAAGTTAAATTAAAAGAAAGATATTAATCCAAATTGCAACAATTAACTCAAGAGAAAATCTGTGTTAATGAATAGACTATAAACTATACCAGGTAATATTTTTTATATACGTCCAAAAATAAAGTGAACAAAAGTGTCCATATTGAGATTTAAGCCTTAAAATTCGATTGCAAAGAATAACATCTATTCAGAATCGACAGGACGCAGTTGCTCACCTGTACGGTGTCCAAATTCTAGTATTTTCGTTTATTTGTGTCTATTATACTCGTAGCATCATCATTAAATGACAAATCAATTTGTTTAAAAATTGTCAACCTACTATATCCCAAAAACCTTAATTATCAGACGAGAAAAATTGATCCTTACTATCACAAAATTTATTTCAGGTAGCCGTTAACAGTTCTGGTACAGTACAATACACGAACTTAAATATGTACGAAGATAATGGATACAAGGTAAATGAAGATTTCTACGGCCTTAGTCTTGATGCTATAAACAATTGCTACAAATCTACAAACTTAACGTATAAATGTTACAATACCGTTACCGACACCCACAAGAATACTTGGTGCAGAGCTCCCGGTAAATATTGTCTCTTGTTTACATTCTAAAATAATGAGGTGGTAATTCGACCACGCTACAAATTGATCATCACTCACACCTATTTTTGTTTAGGTACAATGGAATTTATAGCCAACACCGAGCTAATTATGGAGCGCATAGCTTATGAGCTTGAACTGGACCCGGTCAGCGTACGTCTTGCAAACGTCGATACAACACGTTATAAAGACGTCATAGAAGTTTACGAAACATTGAAAAAGAAAGCTGATTATGAGACAAGGCGTGCGGAAGTCAATACTTTTAATGCCACCAATAGATGGAGGAAACGTGGACTAAGATTCAGCTTCCTACGGTGGACTCCAATCAGCGCTGGTATAACCGGAGCAACCGTATCCATCAATCAAGGCGATGCAACCGTAACCATAGTCCATGGTGGTGTCGAAATGGGGCAAGGTATAAACACTAAAGCCATGCAAATTTGCGCTCATTTGCTCAAAATTTCCATGGATAAAATCCAAGTCAAAGCAACTAATACGATAGCTTTCACAAACCAGTTTGTTACCGGAGGTAGTGTTGCATCAGAAAACGTTAGTGCTGCTGTCGGTGCAGCTTGTGAAACACTTTTAAGTAGACTGGAAGCGGTCAAGGCTACTATGGAAGGTAGTCCAACTTTCGAGCAGGTAGTCAAGCAAGCGTTCGACACTAATGTAGATTTGAAAGCTCACGGATTACGCAGTGCCTCTACTTTTGAGCCTTATGATGTTTTTGGAGCTACATTAGCAGAGGTAGAAATTGACGTGTTGACTGGAGAACATGAAATCCTTCGAGTTGATCTTATCGAGGATGTAGGAACTTCAGTAAACCCTGAAATCGATATTGGACAAGTAAGTAATGTTACTATATTTTACGTTTTGTATAGATATATGCTTTTATATATTATAAATTATTTAAAGTCAGTCCTATTTACTATTATTATTAACTAGTATTACATAACTAGTATTATAGCTAACTTTGTTTATTTACACTTTTCACGTCGCGTCGTGTAATAAAGATCCTTAATAACTGTGGTGATATCACAATTGCTTTAACGACAAATTGTACTAATTGAAGATTTTTTTATACAATTTCCAAACTTTTTTCATAAATAGATCGAAGGTGCTTTCGTCATGGGTTTGGGTTATTGGACCTGTGAACAATTGGTCTACAACTCCACTTCTGGCCAACTCCTCACTACAAGAGCTTGGAACTATTTCGTACCTCAGGCGAGAGATATTCCGCAGAAGATGAACATACACCTCAGACCTAAATCTTACAGTAACGATACGGCTTTTGGTTCTAAATGTAAGTTCTATTCCAACAATAGTTTTCTGGACTTCACTAAGACCTAATACTGTCTTAGCGATGATTTTGTTTTTTCTTTAGATTAAAATGTTCCAAGCATACCTACGTGGTTAGATTGTGGCGTTTTATTTGTCACTTTGGAAATTATCGAATAATTTAGGAAATCCTTCATACGTACATGTAGAAGTCGAATGTAACTACTTTTTTGTAATTAAGCCAAATCTGTCCAAATACATGTGTATTCACATGTGTGTGGCTCAATAAGAAGGAGACTTCAACCTTGTGATTTAAAGTAGATTTTTTCCAATTGATTGTTTGTATTAACTAGTTCACGGCCTATCTGGTTCAAAATCGTTACTGGAGGCATGACGCGAAAAAAACGAAAATGCAAAGAGACACGGGATCGATGACTATTGTTTTGTATAACGACTGTCCTGACCTTCAATGTGCATGCATTGAGGAGTACTTCGAGGCAGATAGATTCATAGGAGGTAATACTGACATCCCAAACGAATGGATATTATAATCGGGATATTGTAGTTAATTAGTTTCATACATATTTAGATGATCAGTTCTATCTCGGTCCGTCTCGTTCACAGGTGTTGGGGAACCACCACTGTGCATGTCAATTGCATTAGTACTCGCCATAATAGAGGCAACAGCTGCAGCCAGAAAGGAATCCGGATACGGTGCAACCGACATCTTCAATATCAGTAATGCTAATCTTTATTTACTTATTAACCTGTACTAATAGATAATTTTATAATAGTATTAAGCTAGTATTAATCTAGTATTAAGCTGATAATTGGTAGTTTATTGACCAAAGAGTGACACAAGCAAATATCCTGGGAAAATGTAATAATTTTCTTTCTTTTGTAAAAAAAAAAAAACAAATTTAACGCGACTGAAACAGAAACGATCGAAGTCTGTCTTTGCGGCTATTATAGATAACGGGGGATGCAACCCTGGCCAAGTCGAGCTACTATTGTAAATCAATTGTTGTTGAATCGTTTGTTCGCAGTAATGTAATAGACGCAGCAAATGGTCATGATCGTATCTACCGTAATGTATTATCAAAGTTAGAGGTGATTAGACATGGGAGTAGGAACTATTTGGAATGGAAAGTAACTAATATACTGTTACTACAGATGAGTCAAAGTGTAGATGATATCACTGCACAGCCACTTTACCAATTACTTCAGAATTGTATTAAACCAGGGTTGGCCAGTTCTTTGTATCGGAAAGTACTTATAACAGCTTTGCGCCTGAAGTTGCCAGCGTAGTTTCATCCACCAGTTTTGATGCAGTTTTATGTTAATATTTGGGCTTTTGGATGATTTTTTTTCATACATCTACGAGTAATTTCTTAGAAAAATATATATGTCAAATTAATGACTTAGACATCAGAAATATAACCGAGGTATAGCACATAGGAGTTTAAATAACTATTACCCAGTAATTCAAATGAACTATAAAAAAGCTACCTTTTTAGCTACCAAAGTAATGACCGTCTCCGACATATATATTAATTTTAAATAAAAACTGAATAATAATTATCGTTTCATATTATTATTCCAATGTTTTCTCAGAACATGTTTGTTATAGATTTTAATTAGCTGTTGGATATAAAATAAGAACCATGAGCTGTTTCATAAATCTAAGCAAAGCTTAACAGCAAATTTAATGCGTGCTCTTTGAATTTCATCAATTTTTATAAACATTGGTGTATTGGTTCCAGGTGCCCCGTTCACCCCGGAGAAAATCTCTCTTTCAACCAAAACCGCCATTAAAGAACTACTGTACAACTAATATTTTTTTGTTTTGTTATTTCTTGTTGTGTTTCTTGTTATGATGTTTGTTTTTATTCATCCATTAAATTCGTTACTTTTATTGAAGTCTTTTAATTTTGTCCTTATTCCTTGTAATTGGGTCTGGTCTGGACATTCGCGTCTACTATCAGCTACCATTTTTACAGATACAATATTATTATGGTTTTGGTGCGAGCTCCTCTCTCCGATGTTTCCCTAGCGCCATAAAATATCTTTCTTTGAATGGAAGAGTCTTCAGTAATAGGCAGCGGCTTAGCTGTGCCGCTGGCGTGTTGACCTCCATGACCGGCGATGGTCACTTACCAAGAGGTGGACCGTATGTAGTTGGCTTACAATTGCTATGGCCGGCGTGTGAAAATCAATAAAGGAATCTGACTTGTTGGGATAACACATCGCACTGTACTGTACTATACTGAGACCTTAGAACTCATATTTCAAGGTGGGTGGCAGCATATACGTTGTAGATGTCTATGGGCTCCGGTAACCCACCCACACCAGCTAACACCAGCTGGGCCGTGAGCTCGTCCGCTCATCTAGGCAATAAAGTATATAAATTTCGTAACTTGTGTGAAAAAAAAAAACCTCAATAGTGATAACGGGGTCCAGTCCGAATGCCACTTTGGTTTTAATTATGACTCCATGTATTATTGCTGCGAAGTAAATCACTAGTAGGATGGGGCCATGACTTTGGTTGTCAGCGTAAACAAACAGAAGTACAAGTCACACTGCAACTCTCTGATGTTCCAAATAAAACACGAGCCGTTGTTGTCGTTGCTTAAATGATAAGACATTTCTCATTTTCAGTAATAAATAGCGAGGATTATTCTAGAAAAACAGAAAAAAATAAATGGAGTAAAGATATTCGAACTTAATGTTCGACGTTTGACTGATAATGAAAAAAGGTTAATTTTGAAAAGGTACACAAAAACATTAGGCAACCGAATTAATTTAATGAGTCAATTATTTAGATAATATGTAAAATAAAAGAAGAAAAAAAAACGTTTATATATTCATTTTAATTTGCGCTCTCTATTTTATATGTATGTCGCTAAGCTAAGTTCATTTGGTATTAAGTAGTTACCGGAGCGCCTAGACATTACAGCGCAAATGACACTATTCATCTTGAGACCAGAGACTTAAATTCCGGTGAATTCCGGTGAATAACGGCCGTCTGGTGTAGTGGTAAGTGACATGGTCACTACACAAGGGGGTCGCGGGTTCGAATCCCGCCAAGGGAAGATATTTGTATGATAAATGTAAATGTCTTTTCCAGGGTTATGGATGTATATTAAATATATGTATGTGTATAATAAAAAATCTTACATTTATTTCCGTTATCTGGTACCTGTAACACAAGTTCTTTACGAACTTATCAGGGGACCAATTAACGTGGCGTGATTGTTAGTAAATATTTATTTATTTATTTAATTTGACCACTGCCTTGTATTTCGTATTTATACCTGTTACAAGGAAAACGAGACTGCAGTATTGCACGTATGTGCACAAAATATCCAGTGCAGCCTTACATTCGGTTTTCTATTCCAAGTTACTAAGCAGACGCACCAAGATATACAAGACCATAGTCAGACCGATCGTATTGTATGGATGTAAATCTTGAAATCTTACACAGAAAGATAAGACTCTTCGTAACTGAGCGAAAGATACTGGGATAAAGTAAAGGTAAAGATACTATGGGCAGCTCAGAGAGATGACGGACGTCGACGTCGCCCTAAGCACGTCATTACAGATCCTCCCGATCGGTGCTTTTAGGTAGCACAAGCATCGGTCACCGTCCTCGTCGATCCCGTCGCGAGCGACGAAGGTCTCGACGAGTGAATTAACCCATAGGTACATCCCGCTGCGTTTCTCGCCGGATCTTCTCAGTGGGTCGCGTTTTCGGTGTTAGATTCTGCGAAGCATTGCTCTTGACAGGGCCAGTGTCAGCAACACTCCCGTGAGAGCCCCGTGAGCTCACCTACACGTCAAAGAGAAGCTGAAATAGCCTCTCAAGGCTATCAGTTTATGTAGGGAAAAAAGAGATAACGGAAATACAAAGATGGCACCAGACGACAGAGCTGTTGAAGAGCGACGACCCTTGGCGGTGTATTGGGGGAGAAAGTGCAAGAAGAATCGTTTGGTGAGCACAAATATCCTTGTGTCAGCCATACCTCGCCGCCTCCTAGGCGTGGAAACTTCACATGAGGTTCAGCCCCCTGCCCGATAAGAAAAAAGAATTGTTCATCTAGGGAATAGGAGACAAAATTATATAACAAGCGAAGGGATGAGCTTGGGACATCTCTACATAATACTAGTAGAGTACCTACGTTGAATTTTGATCTCCTGTATCAAAGTGGGTGGCGACATTTCTATAGAAGTAGGTTTCGCCCTAGTTAACTGTTAAATGCATTGGTCGTCCAAATGGTGAATTAAATATTATGATTAAAAATTCAATAGTCAATCAAAACTACGTTTACGGCTTAATATCGCTTTTGTTAATGTTATTTCCGAAAAATCCAATACTTTATTTACTAAGTAAATAATAAATGCAAGATGAAACCGTAAAAATACTTTTATTATTATATTCAGTTTCATAACTAAAAGAATTGGCTCTAATAACAAGCTGAACTACCTATATTTTTTTAAGATCGTTTTGATAGCTGTCAGTTAGAGCGATGTTATAAAATTATTGTATTCTCATACATTCTTGAAGCGTATGCAAATTTTTATGTGTTGAAGTCGGCGAAAACGACGCTCAATAATTCCATTACATACAAACAAACAGCACACATACCAACCTAATACATACGTGATCATTTTATTTTCAAATGCAGAAAAAACACGTTCAACATAGAAATGCAAACGATATGTGGAAACTAGCAGACGTCCGCGGCTTTGTGTAGTTTTATTTTTTAAGAAATTAATATTTTTTTTATTAATTAAATTACTAGTTGCCCGGAGGCCTGTTCATTGTTGCCAGGACATTGGGCGAGCACGGCTCGGCCAGGAGAGGTGAGATTAGTTAACAGCCCGAGCGCTTCCGAAGGAAACCTAACAGCTGAAGGGTAGCTGCTTCCCGAATAAATCTACTACCGGAACGGAATCGCGACCCACTGAGAAGACCCGGCCAAAAAAATCAGCGGGCTGATATATGGGTTAGGTTGCACGTCGAGCTCTTTGCCAAGTGCCATATATATACTGGTGGTAGGAGGTCTTGTCAGTCTGCACGGGTAGGTACTACCACCCTGCCTATTTCTGCCGTGAAGCAGTAATGCGTTTTGTTTTGAAGGGTGGGCCAGCCGTTGTACTGTAAAAAACTGAGACCTTAGAACTGCTATCTCGAAGTAGGTGGGTCGTGAGCTCATCCTACTATATATAAATCTACAATAAATAAATAAAAGTTCGACGAGTACGGTTACCGGGGTCCCTAAATCTGCTCCTAGTGCCAGAACTGCATGCGTCTAATAATAGTATTAGTGGAGCTGTAGGAGGCTTCATGTCTGGTAGTTCCCGAAATGTATTTTTTTTCTACCTATTTTGATAGCCTTGAGAGCCTATGTTAGCGTTACCCTAGTGTGTAGATGAGCTCTCGGGGCTCAAAGCAGGAGGTGTTGCTAACACTGGCCCTAGCAAGAGCAGTGCTTCGCAGAATCTACCACCGGATCGAAAATGCGACCCACTGAGAAGATCCGGCGAGAAACTGACGGCTGTGTCTGTGGATTAGTTCAATCCTTCGTCGCAAGTGACGGGTTCGACGAGAACGGTGACCGGTGCTCGCTGTATTCACGGAGACATTACCTATACATACCATTGAGACGAGATAGACCTCGCATCTGATTGTATGTGGCGCTATTTACTCAACAATTTTACCAATAGAATTTTTCTATACTAATATTATAAAGAGGAAAGATTTGTTTGTTTGTTTGTTTCGAATAGGCTCCGAAACTACTGGACCGATTTGAAAAATTCTTTTTCCATTAGAAGCCGACATTGTCCCTAATGAACATAGGCTACTTTTTTTATTTTATTTTTTATTTATTTTTTTGGTTTCATTTGTGTTTTTATGTTTCCGAAGCGAAGCGAGGGCGGGTCGCTAGTTTATTAAGAAACCGAGTAATGATTTCAAGCCATTCATCATAATTTGTAGAAACATTGATGGATTATTGTTATTTTAGAAGCTACAACACAATAACAACAAAGATAACCCAATTCCACAAAATAAAATGATAATATCACCAATGTAGACGAAATCAATGAAATTTGCATTATCTAAGGATATGCAATATTAAGGATGACTCAAAAACGGATGGTCAGATCTTAATAAAATTTCAATGAGACCACATGAGAAGCTACCGCTTTCAAATAAAGACAATCCTCAAAATCTGTTCAACATACATACATACATACACATGTATGTATATATGAATATATTTATTATATATCTTTGTTTGCTCTATGAGAAGCATATGTATTTGTAAGTATCAGTGTTATAATGATAATTGTATTAAAGAAACATTAAACATTGTTCGTATTTTTAGCATTAGAGGTGTCACCTCGTCCTCTTGTGTCACTTCTTAGAAATTTGTCGCAAAGATCGGACATGGATCGAATTCAATTTAAAGTAAATGGCTGTAAATATACAGGTAAGTTTGCATTTGTATTTGTCTATGTACAAAACGTGAAAGCGTCGTGGCCTAAGGGATAAGACGGCCGGTTCACTCGTATCCGCTGCGCCGGTGTTCGAATCCCACAGGCGGATATCAAATTTTCTAAGTGGATACGTACTTGCCAAATGTTCACGATTGAATTCCACGGCGAAGGAATAGCATCATGCAACATAAATCAAAACCGTAAAAATTCTAATTTGCGTAATGACTGGTGGTATGGCGTCTTGTGAGTCCGCACGGGTAGGTACCACCACCCTGCCTATTTCTGACGTGAAGCAGTAATGCGTTTCGCCTCAATGGGCGAGGCAGCCGTTGTACTTTAAAAACTGGACCTAAAACTCATGTCTCAAAGTGGGTGGCGGAATTTAAGTTGTTGATATTTATGGGCTCCGGTGTA